GTAAATGTTAACCCTTTCATCCACATATTTCCCATTGATCCATTTGTATATTATATCCAAAATTTTAGCCCATTTTATGGTACAATCTTTAACTTGTTTGTCTTGTTTCAATTCTCAACAAAAGCTTATATATTTTAGCAATGATGTTCATCATTAGTACATAATTCAGTTTCAAAAACAGCTTTGTTTCATTCAATATCATGTCTTTTTATCAACTTTAAACCTTTCTCCAAGTTGTACATATGTAAACCAGTGACATGAATGTTCTTGAGATGTCAAATCCTAACTTTTCCACTGTTCTGAACAATAATTTAGAAAATCAGAATATTTGTGAATCTGATCTAAATCTAAGCAAATGTTTATTCAACAGCTGGAGGATGACTTTCTACTTGAGGGTGATTTTCTTGAGTCTGCATCCTATGAGGTTAGTATCTAGTAAGTCTAAAAACTGTCAGTGAATTTTGGATCTTCTACCATGGAAATTAACCCTATGGTAATTAATAATTGTCCATTTCTGCTAATATAAATAACAAATTGGCAACATGCTTGATTCTAAAAACTATTACTATCTTTTGTGAAACACCCAATTGCGATCACCCATTATTTTTAGGCAAAGTCTTTCTAAAATTTGGATTTGTAGAGGAAGAGGTTATATATTTCCTGCAAAGTTGGGTTTGAGGCAGCATTTGGGATTGTAAAACAGAAATTCAGGGGACTTTTTGACAAGCTGTGCAGCTTCATTCAGGGAAACACTTAAATATGTTGGCAAAGGGCTTTTCTATGATGATGAAGAAAAAACAGAACATCTAAAGTATTGGGTTTTTTTTTAACTCCACAGGTATTGGGCGCATGTGCCACAAATGCCATGGACATTCATTCTCAAAATGATACTTTTGACTCTGACACTCAAGTGCAAGTCAGTACTCAGATAAGCCCAAAAACCTACAGTGGGTCTTTCTTTTCTTACTCCCCTCAACCATCAGACCTTAATCAGCTTACATTACAGTCAAAGTGCCAGTCTCATCAGAAACTCAGTTCTGACTTACTGGAAATGCCTAGAGTCTCCTTGCGCAGGTCATCCAGGAAAGAAATTTTGAACATACCTGGAGAAGGAAAGTTTATCATCTTCCTCAATAAATGGTTCCAATGTCAGATTGCTCCTAGCATTAGGAAGATTTTTCTTACACCCAGCCAGAAAAGGAAATTTTTCAGTCTTGTTGAAATACATTCTATATAAATTCACTTAGAACAGGATTTTTGTCAATATCATTTAAGCAAAATTCAACTATTTTATGTTGGAGGATATTGAGAAGTGTTTCCCCAAAAGAATAACTGCAGAAGCAATAAAGTATTGCAAGAACTTTTTAAAAAGTATATAAGATTTTATTGTGTGAGTGATATGTTAATTTGTCATTCCACAAGGATTTAGTATTGGCAAAAGAAAAAAAAACACTGAAAGTTTATATTTATGGCTGAAAGCCAACAACTTTTTTCTATTCACATAAAAGAACCCTCCTTCATGACCTCAGTTTTGTTTCCCGGATGGATCGGTTGCTGCCTGATTACCAGAAATATTAGGAATTATATAAATGTAGGGATTCTCAGACTAGATCATGACCTCATCCTTGTGAGCAGCAGTGCGGACAATTACGGGCATGGCTTGGTACACCCATGTGACCCCTCTGCTTTACGAGCTGCACTGGTTGCCAGGTTGCTTCTGAATGCAATTCAAAGTGCTGATTATAACGTATAACGCCGTATACAGCATTGGGCCTGGCTGTTTTACGGATTGCCTGTCTTCAGTGATCTCTGCCCAGTAGTTCAGACCAAAAGGCAGGCACTTCAGGTCTCTTCAATTAAATATTGTCATCTTTTGAGGCTCTGGAAGTGTGCCTTTTCTGTCATGGCACCTGCCCCCTAGAATGAGGTTTTCCCTGAAATCAGGGTAGCTCCCACCCTGATAGCATTCCAGGGGGACTTAAGGACCTGGGTCTCCATCCAGGCTTTGAGCTAGGGTGGATGGAGCCCCCCAGAATACCACAAGGGTAGAAGCCACCCCAATTTCAGGGAGATCCTCATTCCAGAGGGCAGGTGCTGCTATAGAGAAGGCACACCTCTGGGGTCATGATAGATGGCATTGTTTAATTGAAGGAACTCGGAATAGGCCAACGCTGCCTGATCAGAGACAGGCAGTCCCTCAAGTAACCAGGCCCTATGTCTTTATTCCACAAATACAGCAACACTCCTGATTTTGATTCTGGAGAATATAAATAATTGAGATACTATTATCTCTGACAGAGTAATTCAAACATAAAATTACTTGGAAAAAATTGTTGGTGTAAATAAAAAGAACACTAAATGTTTAATGATATCTAATTTATGTACATTTCCAAATACATCATGTAAAGAAATTTCTCACATTTCTGCAAAGTAGAAATTGAAGTGTCTTTTAGGCGTTATGACAGACATTTCAGAAAAGTTTTCAAGAAGCCATGCAACTCAAGTCTTTTAACCAACTTTTCCACTGTTCTTTTTTTAATAAGAATTTTATTAAGTTATAAAAAGCATAAAAGTAAAAACAAGCAAGAACTAATAATTGAGGACAAAGTAGAGAACAAGAGAGTTAGAGATAAAGAATGCAAAAGTGATAGAAAGTAAAGAAAAGGGAAGAAAAAAAATTACAAAAAGAGTAACTTCTGACTTTTTATACAGCAGGTATAGATACAGTTGCAAGAAAAAGTATGTGAACCTTTTGGAATTTCATGGTGTTCTGCATTAA